TTGCGCGGTGACTAGCGCCATGACTTCTTCGCCCTGGAAGATGCGCAGCAAGCTGCGCCGACCGCCCCCCCCTCTCTCCATAAACAATGGACCGGGGTCCGACGTCGCAAACTCGGTCATGTCCTGGCACCATTGTTTCGCCAGATGAGTCGGGGGGGACTTGGGTTTGCCGCGATCAATCCGCTGCCGGCAAGCGTAGTAGTCTACCTTCGTAGCGCCGAAGAAACTTGCATGCGCGCGAGCGCTTTGCTCCGGCCTCTGGGGCACTGCCTGACACCGCTCCAGAAGGCGGCCGTGAAATTCAACAGCTGTCGGCGTGATGTTCCAGCTGTTCGCCCCATGCATTGCCAGCCCCATTGCGCACCCCCCCCGCCCTCCCCGCCGTGCCCCTAGGCCGCGCCCGAGGCAGCTGTGCAACCGAGGCCAAGGCTGCGAGCCCCAAGAGGCCCGCGGCATGCGCCAACATGACGAATGATGACCGCCGCAATTTGTTAGTGAATAGCACAAAAGCCGCGGTTTATCCACGCGCCCCAACCATTGCATTTGCAGCAGACCTGCTTGCGAGCTCTGTCCTGGGTCGACAACCGCGCATCTCCGCCGATCACCTGGCCCGAGCTCCTGGGCGAGCGCGCCATGCCGAAGGCCCCTTTGCCAACGACGTTGGCGACGTGGTTCGTCTTGGCCGCGTTCAGCGCGTGCCAAATCTGAGCGAGGTGCACTGTGGGCCCGTTGGTGGCTGCGTTTGTTCGCATCCTGGTCTTCCTCGCGCCGGCTTCGCGCGCGCGCGGGGCCTCGTGCAGTCGTCGAAGCGCGGGCCGATGCCCATGTCCACGCTGCGCCGCGCAATCGGGCACATGCTGGGGCGCCGCGCGCGCCCGTCGTCCAACTCCGCCGGTTTCTTCTGCCATTCATCCACCATCAGAGCGCAGGCGCCAACGAAGCCGCCAGCCGCGACAGAGTGCCCCGTGGCGGCCCCGCGACTGGAGCGCACGTCGGCGGGGCCGCCCGCCGCCTCTGCGCGCGCGAACGGCGACTTAACCGCCTGATGAGTGCGCTCGCTGTCGCGCTCGCGGCGCGCCTGCTGATGCAGCTCCCGGGCGCGCTCGAGCAACGCTCGCGCGGACGCGCCCGCGCCGTCGCAATTTAAAAGAGCGCGCGAGAGTCCAGGGCCCGCAACCACCGCGCGCTGCTCTGATGGGCAAGCGCGGAAGCCCCTCGGCGCCTCTTCAGCCGCCCACCGCGCACAAAATTACGCAGGACGGGCCGCGCCATCGGTCGCGCGCGCAGATGCCCCGAGCCAGCCCTTGCCACAGGCGCCGAAGCAGCGCGGCATCCTCTTCCCTTGAATACTGAGCGCGCCGCGCTCCTCGCCCGGGGCATTTGATAGCGACGACTGAAACTAACGAGGCGCGGGGCGGCGCCCGCCCCTGTCACTGCGATAGCGTGGACTGATAGGCTGCAGTGCAATGTCGGCAACTGCCCCCCAGGGTGGTGCCCCCCTGTGTTTTGGTGCCTTCTTCCGATGCCGCATTTGCTATCCGTAATCCTTCTCTGCCAATCCTTGCGCTGCTGCCGCCAGTAGGGGTCGCGGCAAACGTGAACGGTCTGCCACCACTTCTCCCCATTAAACTGGTTGTCCTGCCATGCCTCAGCGCTGAAGTGATAGACCCGCCCCATCCGTCCGTCCTTGCGCGCAGATCCCCTGTCTGCCTGCGAGTGCGCATGCATTCTTTCGTCCACTGCCCACGCTGGTCAATCGGGGCTTGAGTTGGCGGCCGACTGCGTGATATGTTGCACCCCGTGCGTTCATCAGCTCAATGGGGCACTCCACGCTGCCGCTCTCACGTTGAGACTGCCATAGCTCTCGAAGCTCACGCGTGACCTCATCCAGATGGTCCTGCATGCGCCTACGCTCCTCCTCTGATACCATGTGTTCATTAATGCCCAGGTCAACCCGCTGCTGAATCAATATGAGCATGCATCCCGGCATCCCAGATATCCCGCTAATGTCGCGGTTCCAATGAAGAATGCAAGCCAGGAGAGTTCGCGCGCTCTGAACGCAGAAGACTTCAGACACTTGGTCCAGATCACTGCGCTGCTTTGCGCGATCCCACTCTGCCGCCTGGTCTCGAAGTTGTTTATCCATGTGTTTGAAGAGCTCTGGCCGCGCTGCCCCGACTGTTTGCAGGTTCGTCCGCGCGTTGAGATTCGCCGGTGGACGCGATCGGCGTAGCTCCCACATGGCCATGACCAGTGCGATGCTGGTGCGTTCCGGGATGCGGTCCGCATGCGAAGGGCCCGGCTGCAACTGAAGTCGCCGCCCGAGCCCCCTTAATTCACGATGTTCGCACGGCCTCTCGTAGAGTAGTCCGCAATCAGATACAGTCTATATTACTGGCGTGGCTGCGCTAGAAGAAGAACGGGGGCCAGTGTCCCAAAGGCGGCGACGCTGATGCATTGCTCCGTGACGACGTTGCGGTTCGGTGTTTGCGTGAAACTTTGGAACGGCTTCCTTGACGCCAGCGATCTCAACGTCGGTACGCCTGTGATCGATCACTTCCTGTCGAAACCGCTGTTCAATTCGCCCCATACCAGGATCATAACTTGATGACCTTCTTTCTCCATGCTGGCAGTGGACCACTTTGTCACGATTGCAGCACTCGGCAACAACATGCCAGGCGCTGCCGAAGGTGGCGGCCAGTAGACTGGACATGTGCATCTTGACCTTCCTGATGCGTCATGGAAAACCAGAACAGGTCTCGCTCGGTGGGAGAAACTGCTGTACACCGTGTACACGCTTGTCCAAGAATACTGCCACCCCACAGGTCTTACTCGCCATGGTGCTCTTCCTCCAGCCTGCGTGTAATAGCCAATCGCGTGGGAGTTGTAGCTGTCCTGCACCATGTTCGAAGGCAGCGCGTCGCTACGTGCCACTAGGGCATAAAAACGTTGGTGGAGGTGCAATGCTGGCTCATATCCCCGTGCTTCATGTGATCCACCCACTACACGTTCTATGAAAGTATTGTCACGACCATGCTCAGTGCCAACAAATAATGAATCGAACGTTGTATGGATCCTCGGGCCGCTCGTGGTGTTTCACAATCCGTGGGCGACGACGCACAATCGTTGGTTATCTGCTGCGCGTGAAGAGGTCGCCTGCAATGCCATTCGGGCCTTCATGGCGACTGGAGGAGGACGATGACGACGAGGAAAAGGAGAAGGACAATGAGAAACAGGAGTCAAAACACGACGAGGGGGCATGCGGCCGCCGTCGCGTCTCAGGCGTGCACCGAGAGTGGCCAATCTGCGTTTTGAGAGCGAAGCGCCACGAGGGCGTTGGACCCCCCCCTATCATCCAATTTATGTGCCGAACAGTCAAAGAATACGGGGACGTCGAGATTCGGAGAATCCTGTCGGCTGGTTCCGAATCCGCCGACCCTTTGTGGGTCTCCAGGCGTGTGAGATTGTCCCCCCCCCATAATCCCCCCCCATGGACCCCAAGCCGGGATTTTGACCCCCCCCCCGGCCCCGGGTGGCCCCGGACCTAACTCACCCGGGGCGGTCTGGGCTCCCTGGGCTCGCTCTTGAGCTGCACGACAGCACTTGACGCCTAAGCCGCCAAGACGGTCCACGAGAACCCCAAGTCGCCGAAAGATTGTTCAAAGACGCCCCAGATTGACTCAAAACGGCCCAAGAGGCCGCCAAGACACCCCACGAAGCGTCCATGAGGCCTCCCAAGAAGATCCCAAGAAACCAAAATATCGAAATCCCCTTGGGTAAACGTGCATTTCCGGCAAATCCAACTTGTTAGCCTGCACGGCGTTGAAAGCCGTCCACGAGGCCCCCACGAGGCCCCCAGGACCACCCCAAGACGGCCCGCGAGGCTTCCAGGAGGCCCCAAAGACAACCCAAAAGAACTCCAACGTGGCCCAAGAGGCGCCCTAGACGGCCCAAGAGAGCTCCAAGACGGCCTCAAGAAGGGCCCAAGGGAGGGACCAAGAACCGCGAATTCCAGCGCCCCGCCCAACGAAGCTCTTCAGAGGACCCAAGAGGCCCCCCCCCAAGAGGCCCCCATGAGGCACCCAAGACGCCCTCAAGAGGCCCCAAATACGATAACAGCAACGAGGCGACAGGAACGATGTCGAGCGCCGTGTCATGATCCGGACAAGCCTCGTGGAATGCAGTCCTGGAGGCGCAGTAGTTTATAGCGGGGTCGGCGGATGTGGCGCAAGCCTATAGAATCGAACGCGATGGCTTCGGGCAACTGGAACACTGCGGCCTGTTGCTTGGCAGATGCTAAATCCAGCCCGTCCGAGAGTTGAGCGGCTTCGGGATGGGCATCATCGTGCGGCCACACCTCTCGGCTGCTTCCCCGAAGAGTTCCGCGTGGTCCTGGGCCCGCTAAGTGTCGGTGGCCCCATCCGCCGGGGTTCCCTGCAGCTCTGGCCATCGCTCGGACGTCCATTCCCTGTGCTTTTTTCGGTTTCGCGCGTGTTTTTTTCGCCAAATGAGCAAGGATGCTCCTCGATGGTCCTCGCCGAAGGAAAAATGCACACGTCCGAGCGATGCCAAGAGCTTTTCGGCTTCGCCTGCAACTGCTTTGCCCCTACGCAGCCGCCAGAGGCCTTGACAGGCCCGCCAGGACAGGGCACTGTTGCCCTTCCTCGTCGTACTGCCCCGTCGCCACGGTGGCGTTTGTGCTGGCAGATGAAGCTGGCCACTCCGCGGCCTCAATACTGAACGGCACTCTGGAGATTGTCAGCCTGCCGCCGTGGCGCCTCAGGCGGCCGAGGTGCAGCAGGAGCGCGGTCACCACGACGAGGCCGCAGCGGCGGTGCCCGGAGTGCCAGTGGGCCGCTGCAGGTCTTACGCCAACTCCATCAGGGAAGGCTTTTGGCGCACCTGTGCAACGGGCACTTGACGAGCTCCCCAGCCACCTCGACCACCAGGTCAGGCCCATCGAAACCTCCTCCCCTCCATCCCCTCCTCCCAGCGGCCGCCTCGTCAGGCGGGTGCGGCCTCGTCGTCCTGGACGTCGGCCCACCGGGGCTTCCCGCCGGGGCCCTCCTCGGGGCGTGGCGGAGCGGGGGGGGGGAGGGCGGGGCAAGTTCATCAGGCGAGTTCGACTTGCGCCAAAGTCTGTTGTGTTCGCTAAGTGGGGTGACCCGGGTGCTGATCCCAGGAAAGGGCCTCATTCTGCGATGCGCTGATCAGGGAGGGCGGAATACCTTTTACATTGGAGTAGGAGGCGGCGGATGAGCAGGATGATGAGAAAGAGAAATTAAGTAAGCAGGAGGAGGAGGAGGAGGAGGAGGAGGAGTAGGAGCATAATGACGACTTGGTGGGGGTGAAAAGGCGTGTGGCACGTGTGACAAATCTACCATCGATCAGATACGCGGCATACCTGGGCCGAGGAGCGATGGAATGGAGAAGAAATGGAGCGCAGGAGAAACAACAAAACACACATGCGGGAAATTTGTCAAGAATAGCCCGTCTTGGAGCCGTCTTGGCCTCGCCTGGCGAGAACTGGAATGGGCGGGCGGTGAACGCGAAGCGTCTTGCAGATTTACGAGGAATCGGAAGAGCATGGGAAAGCGGAACAGGGGATGTTGGGAACGGCAACGACGTAGAAGGCGTTCGATCCACAAATGTGGCCCGCCCTGGGGCGAGAGCGCCAATCTGCACGCAGAAGCGACGCGCCGGTCCTGGAATGCGGCCAATGCTGCGGCGGGGAGGGACAAAACATCGCCTGACCGAACGAACAAGCATTCCCCAAGCAGCACTTGCACAGAAATATTCATATTTGACTTCCTCCAGAACTCGAATGGGTTGCCCAGGTTTTCGCCACGTTGGCGCCCGTACCCGCTCGTGGGCGCCTCGCGAGCAGCCCGTGCGCTGGGTGGCTTCCCGAGGATTCGCCGAAGTGGTGCCCGGGCCCGCTCGTGGGCGCCTCGCGCCCCTTGGTCTGTGCAAGAGTCGCGGTGCCCGCACCTGGCCATCGCTCGGACGTCCATTCCCTGTGGTTTTTTCGGTTTCGTGCGTGGGTTTTTCGCCAAATGATCAAGGATGCTCCTCGATGGCCCTCGCCGAAGGAAAAATGCACACGTCCGAGCGATGCCAAGGCACTGCCACGCAGGCGAATCACTGGGCGTGGGCGTCGGCTCCCGGGTGGGGCTCCCGGAGATGCGCGGCGTTGGTGCCCGTGCCCACTCGTGGGCGCCCCGTGCGCTGACCGGGCGTCCCACGAGTTCGCCTCGTCGGCGCCCGTGCGAGGAGCTCGGAGAGTGGCCGGCAGGTCGTTGACCGTTCTCGGAAGCTTCCTGTGCTTTTCGAAGTTCCCCGGCCCGCCCTCCGGCCGCCTGAGGCCCCGCCTGCCTGTGCTCTGTCTCCCCAATTTGTGCTTTGCGCGGCCCGCCTAGCTCTCAACCGGAAGAGGCTCGCTCTCGACCCGCAGACCAAAAAAAATGTGCTCTTCGAAGTTCTGGGAAGGGGGGGCAGGGAAGGGAAGAGGGAGCGGGAGGAGCACGGGGAGGGGAGGTCCCTCGAGGGGGGGCGAGGCGGTTGTGGAGGGGAGCTCGAGGGCTCGGGGGATCGGGGAGCACGTGGGGGCGGAGGGGGTGAGAGGCAAAGACAGGGGGGGACTGGCTCGCGGGGGGGGGGCGGGAGCGTCGGCGGGGAATCGGCCACGCATCGCCGGCAGCTCGGCGGGAGACCCCCGAGGGCGAGCCTGCGCGCTCCCTGGGGGGGGGGGGGGGATGGCTGCCGAGCCCACCTGTGCTGATTGGGCGGTTGGGGGGGCCGAATCGTCTGCCACGCGTCTCCCCCCCCGAGAGCTCATCACCCCCCTGGGGAGAGCAGAAGACAGCTCAGGACTGGAAGCTAGGGCTCCCAACTTCGCGCTTCGCGCTCCGCGAAGCGCGAAGCGCGAATAACTTCGCGCTCTCGCGCCGCTCCCCCAAAGGGAGAATAGGAGGACGAGGAGGAGGGGGAGAAGGAACGAGGACCGCGAAGCGCGAATAACTTCGCGCCCTCGAGGGAGCCCTTGTGGAAGCGGGCCAACGGGGGGAGGAATAAGGGGGGGGGGAAACAGAAAAGCGAGCGGGCAGGAGAGAGGAGACGGAGCACGAGAGGGAAGACAGGCAAAGGAGCAACAGAACAACAAGGGACAACATGAACATGATGAGGGGAAGGGAGGGAAACGGAAGGCAGGGGGGAAGCTCTCATCAGACATCCGATGATGTGGTTTTCAATTCGCGGCCCCGAAAACCAGACCCGTTTCACTGGGACAGTTTCTCGCTCCAGATCCATGTCTGATGGTCCTTGGGGCCGAAAATAAAGAAAACCGTCGGGATTGAAATGACAGCCTTGCGGCAGAGAACCCTAAACAACTTTTATGCAACTACGCAACGATGAGGAGTGACGATTGGCTGCCACGATGGGTGCGGAATACGGATAAGGTTATTAGATACAGGGCGAGGGACATCATAAGGATGAATGAATGGGTATAGCGAGGGGGATACAGGGAGTGGGGAAAGTGAGAACGGATAAGGACAAAAGGGTAAGGGTAAGGACAGGGACCGCAATGGGAGGCCACCGGAGGCAACGGGACGCCACAGGAGGTAGAGGGAAGCCGCGGAACGCCACGGACGGCGACGTCGCCCACCCGATTCTGGATCTGGCCGCGCACGTACTATTCTCTTGGGACAGTGTTTCTTCTAAGCAGTGTTTCCTCTCAGGGATTATCAACTCTTTCCTAAGGTAACTGACCTCCGGTGCTGGTCCAACTGGCTCGCTGCCGCCCGTCGCCGCTGGGACCGGGTGCGGCCCGCTCGTTGCAACTTGTCGCCGCCCGTCGCCGCCGTCGCCGTTAAATTGTGTTGGGCTTTGCATCGGCTTGACTTGCACACCTTGCCTTGCACCACATGGATTCTCCGTTCTAAAGAATTAATAGTTTCTCCCCCCCTCCCCCCCCCGGACTTCTCGCCTCCCCCTGGGATAATATGATTTCACACACACACACACACATATGTATATATATATACACCTCACACTCGTCCATCCCAAATTTGATATCATACCATCCCAGCCAAACAGGGTTCCCCCCCTGAGGTTCCCTGGTAAAAAAAAACCACTACGCGGTGACATTGTTTGCTCTAACATAACGTTTTTTTCACGAACCCCTTGCAAAAAACGAGACGAAGTGCGCACGCGCGCGTCGTCGCGCGCGCATGCCGAAATCCTTCAAACACCTTCGGTGCGGGAAGGATTTCGCAATCGAGTTCCCCCCACAAAAAAAAAACAAAAACACAAGGTCTCGCAACACAGAGTTGCTAAAAAAGTTTCCGCGAAAATTCTTGCGAAATCTTAAAGAAAACTATAGTTTTTAAGATTTTCACACAATTCTACCAAACGGGCTTCGCGCGCGTTCATGTCGAAATCTGTCGAACGCCCTTGCGCGTGTGCCGTCGCGAGAATCACCTGCAAAAATGGGACGAAGCGCAGACGCGCGCGTCGTCGCGCGCGTATGACGAAAACCTTCAAAACCCATCGGTTTCGGAAGGATGTCAAAATCGTGTCCAAAAAACCTACAAAAAACACAAGGTTTCGCAACACGGATTTTCAACAAAAGCGTGCGCGCGCGCTCTAGCGTCGTCGTCGTCGTCGTCGTCGTCGTCGCCGTCCTCCCTCTTCCCGCGTCGTTGTCGTCGTCGTCGTCGTCGTCGCCTACGTCGTCCTCTGTCTTTCCTCGTGTTCGTCGTCGTCGTCGTCCTCTTTGGCGTCGTGGTCGTTTCCGTCGTCGTTGTCGCCGTGGTCGTCTTTCCTCCTCCTCCCTCGTCGTCGTCGTCGTCCGTTTTCAGCGTCTCGTCGTCGTCCCTCCTATTTCGTCGCCGTCGTCGTCGTCGTCGTCGTTGTCGTCGTCGTCGTCGTCGTCGTCATCCCTCCTCCTTCGTCGTTGCCGTCGTCGGCGTCGCCGTCCTTCCTCCTTCTTCGTCGTTCGCGTCGTCGCCGTCCTCCCTCCTCCCTCGTCGTTGTCGTCGTTGTCGCCGTCGTCGTCCTCCCTCCTTCCTCGTTGTCTTCGTTGGTGACGTCGTCGTCGTCTTCGTCGTCGTCGTCGGCGTCGTTGTCGTTTTCGTCGTCGAAGACGTCGGCGTCGTCGTCGTCGCCGCCGTCGTCGTCGTCGTCGTCGTCGTCGGCGTCGTTGACGTCGTCGTCGTCGCCGGTGTCGTCGTTATCGTCGTCGTCGGCGTCGTCATCGTCGTCGTCGTTGTCATCGTCGTCGTCGTCGGCGTCGGTGTCGTCGTCGTCGTCGTCGTCGCCGGTGTCTGCGTCGTCGTCGTTGTCGGCGCCGTCGAAAACGTTGGAGACGTCGTCGGTGTCGTCGTAGTCGTTGTCGGCGGCGTCGTCATCGTCGTTGTCGCTGTCGTCGTCGGCGTCGCTGTTGTTGCCAAGTGCCATGTGGTACCCACCGTCACGGTTTTAAGAGATTGTGCAAACCAAGTTGCGGGTGGGTGGGTGGGATGTTTGCGCGAGCAATGGAGTGGACAAGTCACTGCGAACAGAAATTAATTCTCCTTTCTAAAAGACTAATAGATTCTACCCCCCCCCCCGGACTTATCGGGTCCCCCGCGCGTGCTGTAAATCACATATGATTCTGACCACATGTCCATCCTAAATATGAATTCATAACATCCCAACCAAGCCGGTATCCCCCCCCTGCGGTTCCCTGTCAAATACCACTATGCGGGGACATTTTTCTTTCTAACATAACATTTTTTCGCGAATCCCTTGCAAAATATAGGACGAAAAACACACGCGCGCGTCGTCGCGCGCGCATGCCGAAATCCTTGAAAAACCTTCGGTGCCGGAAGGATTTCGCAATCGAGTTCCCGAAAAACATACAAAAACACATGGTTTCGCAACACTGATTTGCTAAAAAAACTTCCGCGCGAGCTCTTGCGAAATCTTAAGAAAACCATAGGTTTTTCAAGATTTTCACAAAAGTGCTACCACACGGGCTTCGCGCGCGCGCATGTCGAAATCTGTCGAACGCCCTTGCGCGTGTGCCG